TGTGCATCTATGAATAAACATCTAGAAACAAAGCAAAAAGTTACCTTGTTGGATAATTTCCTAAAACCTGATATATAAACAGTCATTAAACACTTACTTGTGTTCCTTAAGCAAATACCACTAAGAAGTTTTACATTGCAGTCTACCCAATAAAGTTGATTTATATACACTCTGCCAAAATTATAGCTTTTAGTTAATGCTTCAGTGCTTTTCACAGTCTGGCATTGCTCAACACTCTTGAATTTGCTTCTGTTTATGTATCCTGACCTGTACCTGAGGTGATTGAACCTCAAACTCACATTGCGCATATAAATTTGAATGTTCTTCACCTGATACGCTAAATAAGGAATAGTATTATGTGAGTCTGACTTTTTGATTTGTCTTCAGTCCCTGCTTTCTTTTGGGAATATGATTAGATGTAGCTTATGTTCCAGGGCCTCAAGTACTTGATTAAGCCAAAGATGGAATAGTTCACATTTTCATCTAGTCATATAATTTAGAGATGTAAAGAATCATTTTGTGATTTATCAGAGGATAGTTTGGTGTCATTACTCCTCCATACCACTACCAGTTCACCTTCTCTGTTACAGCAGAATTTTTTCATGAGTAAACCTTATCTGCTATTGCTATGGATTTTCTCTTAGGACCTAGTAAACTACTCATTCTTTAAGGTCAAGCTAGATGTCTAAATTGGAAAATCCGACTATCTAGGAAGCAATGTACCACGTAGAAACTTTTTAAAAGTTATATGTTAATTTAATGTAGGTCCATCACTGACACATTGTAAAATCTAAACACTGAAAAACTGGGATATTGAAAAGAGAAAAATAAAATATTACAACTCTAAAATATTAACAGATGGATTTGTGTTGTTGTTGTTGTTATTGTTGTTTTATACAAAGAGGCCAAGAGTGACTAAATTCTTTATTCTTATGAACATGCTAAGTAATGTTTCTATGCCTCAGAAAAGTTCTGGAAAAGGACAGTAGTTTATATTTAGCCACTGTGGTTGAGGTTACAGAATGATTTGGAGCTGTAGAAGGACAGCTTTTATGGATAGCATTTATTGCCATTAGGTGGGAAACTTATCAGTAAGACTGTGCTTAACTTTGAATTTGAAATCTGTGACAAACACACTCTCTCCTAAGTTGACTAAAACCCTCTTCTATTACTGTAAACCATCCTTACAAGTTCAAGTATGTGTAGCAGGGCAGCAGAATCTAAGACCTTGCTCTACATGACACCTGTGTGCTCGTGGCAGTGATTAGCAAGAACAGGCCCTTCCATTCATGTGGGTTGAAGGAAAGTGTGAGATTTCAGTTAGGTTAAATTCAGCTCTTTTTATAGTTCTTCACTACTGTTTGCATAGCTATATCTTGGGGGTTTTAGCTAAAGTTTAATCATCTTGTCAACTTATTCTCTGACTTCTAATTTTATTTTAGTAAGTATAACAATGATAAATTTAAGAAAAATAATCCACATTTTCTAAGAGTTGCTTAAAAAGTAATTAGTTCACAGTTGCTTTTGAATCAAGAAGCCATTTCCAGAGCTGCCACCCTCAGGGTGGTTACGGCTGCTCTGCCTGCTGAGGTAGGAAATTAGTTTTGAGGATTTTTAATTCTTTGAATTCTATTGCTTCTTCTGAGTCATCTAGTGAACTTCATCAATAATATATTACAATAATACAATTTTAAGTAGAGAGCTAGGATGAATTAAGTGTATGGTGTGGGGAAAAGGCCTTCATATCACTTGAGAGCACCCTATAGCCAAGATTCCAACACTGTCCTCTCTATTCTGGGTTTCAGACTAGACCATGTTTTGTTTTACTCGGAACATACTGTTTGACTGCCTACATTTCTATGATTACTCTTTTCCATTTATTTAAATGCAGTGTGCTTTTCACTTGGTCATTCGTGCCTTTGTGTCTACCACAGCCCAGGATCACATGGTTAGACCTTTTGTTCTTGTACTGCAGAACCACTCCCTTTGAACTGACACTCATTTGTTGCATTTACATTGTATCTTCTGGGGTCTGGTCTTTATTATGTTAAAAATTTTATGAATTTTGATTTGTTGGCTAAATTCTAATTTCTGTGAAGGCTGAGATGTTTTTCACAGTCTTCACATGCCCTCTATTTAACCTAGTGCCAACTATATACTAGAAACTCAATGTTTAAGTATAATTTTAGATAAATTGGTGGAAGGTTTTCATTGTGGTGGCTTAGAATGAACATATTTTATTATTCTGAGTTCCCTTAAGATTAAATTTTGACATTGAAAGAGACACTATACTGTTGAATAATGGAGATCTGTGGTCATTCTTTTATTGAAAGCAAGATGCTATTAGAGGATGCTCAGAAGTTATCTGTGTCCTATGAATAGGAGTAACTATCCCAAACATATGACACCAGTAGGCTTTCTATATTGTAACTATGACTTCTGCTAAATTCTGAAGAGTAATTTGTATGTAAATATTAAGTGATAAATAGGCTTTAAATGACTGAAAAAATATAAAGAAATACATTGAAAGTTGTTGCTAACATACATACAAAATATAAGCAATAGAACATCATTACTAGTTTTTTCTATTTGAATTATGTGTCTCTACATTTAAAAAAAGAACAGTTTGTTTCTGTAACAGAATTTCAGAAGGTATAGATATAAGTGAGGATGAATTATTTACTATATATAGACAATTAAATCTTATGTCTGTAATACAAAAGCTGTATAATCTTGGGCATGTCACTTAACTCGTCTGAGCCAGTGATTTGGGGGTTTTGTTTGTTTGTTTGCTTTGCTTTGCTTTTTGTTTTCTCATGGAAAGAGGATTGCCTTAAATTTTAGGTTGAGTACATCTGTCCTAGCTATTTTTATGTTACCTTGACACAAGCTGGAATCATTTTGGAAAAGGGAACTTCAACTGAGAAAATACCACCAGACTGGCCTATGAACAAGGGTCTCTATTGTGAAGAGACACCAGGGCCAAGGCAGCTATTCTAATAGAAAGCATTTAACCTAGGCTTGTTTATACTTTCTGAGGTCTATTATCATTATTTCAGGAAGCATGTTAGCATACAGGAAGGCCACTGGAGCAGTAGCTGAGAGCTACATTCCCATCAGTAGGCAGACACACACACCACACACACACACACACACACACACACACACACACTGGACCTCGCTTGAGCTTTTGAAACCTTAAAGCTCACCCCACCCCCGCAGTGGCATACTTCCTCCAACAAGGACACACACATATTCCTACAAGGCCATGCCTCCTAATCCTTCTCAAACAGTTCCACTCTGGTGACTAAGGATTCAAATAGATGAGCCATTTTTATTCCAACCACTACAGCAAGACTGTGGCACATTTTCTTAATTGATGCATGTGGGAGGACCCAGGAGCCACTCCTGAGTACTGTATGAAAGCAGGCTGAACAAGCCATGAGGGACAAGCACATAAGCAGCACTCCTCTCTGACCTCTGCATTAGCTCCTGCCTCTTGAGTTTCTGCCCTGACTTCTAGGACAATGGACTAAAAGTCATAAATTACAATAAACTACCCCTAAAGTTGCTCTTGGTCATGGCATTTTATCACAGCATCAGAAAAACAACTAAGACAGTATCTAAAGCACAGGGCACAGTGTTACCTGGCCTTAGTAACATCTGACATGCTTCTTGTCTTTGGTTGGTTTTGTCCTCCTTTTTTTCATGTTAGAGACAAAAGTACTTAATTAAATAACTTACTGAAAATTTGTTCTTCATTTTATATTGTAGTACATTGTGGTCATTGGGTTTGTTATTGTTGAGAGAAGCAGGCAGGGGGCGGGTGGGGAGGGAGAGAGGGAGGGAGGGAGAGAGGGAGGGAGGGAGGGAGAGAGGGAGGGAGAGATTTTTTTAACATTTCCCTATGTAGCTCTGGCTGACTATGTAGACTAAGCTGGCCTGGAACTCATAGAAATCCCCATGCACCTCTTACTTCTCAATTACAGGCATACACCACCATGCCCATCAACTCATTTATTCTTCGAGATTTACTTTTGTATTTTAATTATGCATATTCTTGTTTATCTGTTATATGGGCTTATGCGTGTGAGAACAGTGCCTGTGGAGGCCAGAATGGATCCCCTGCAACGGGAGCCAAAAGTTGTGAGCCATCCCATGCAGGTGATGGGAACCTAACCTCTGATGTTCCGTGAGAGCATAGTGTGTCTAGCCTTACTGCTGAGCCATTGCTCATCTTCTGCTGTTCTTAGTCTCAACAGTGATCCGGTCAGGCTAGATTTTGAAAAAAAAAAATGTAGTAATATAAAAATATCTTTTAAAGAATTTGATGGATATTTATTTATCTTTAAAATAGTTAAGCTTGAAAAGATAACTATGTTTGACATTAATCTTATAAATATTAGTTGAAAGTGTCATAATTTTCCTGTTATTTAGAAGATTTATAAGTAAATGATAAAATAAAAATTTGCCATAACTAAGCCAAGCTTTTTCAAAAATGTAGATTTTAGTTAAAATTCCCCTTTGTTTAAGCTTTTTCATTAATATTTGCAACAGCAGTGGACCACTTTCCTGCTGTGTAGCACTGATTGCGTTTGTGCCTTTGTTGGTTGAGTGTCTTCCCTCTGTTAGTCTAAGGCAGTTCTATATGGCAGTGTGGATGGCTCCAGGATAGAGTTCAGGCAGAAGGTAACTTAGGTACATTTTCAAAAGTTGCTGGTTCTCCGGCCCTCAGAACCCTGTACTTACTCTGATTTTCACAGCCCCTCTTCTGAAAATTGGTCACAGAACATTTTCTAACAGATTTGAGACTCTGATTTCTTAAAAATAAGGTTGAGGAAATATTAGCCCAGAACTCTAAGATGTAGGTTGATTGACTTCTCTAAAGATGTGAAGCAGACTTAATAAAAGAAACAAATATTGAAGTTTCTTCATTAAACTGTATGTTGACTGGGCCCCAGATTTTGATGTTATCTTTTATTATTATTTTTTTGAAACAGGTAGATCGCCACTTGAGAAAGCTGGATCAGGAACTGGCTAAGTTTAAAATGGAGCTGGAAGCCGATAATGCTGGAATTACAGAAATACTAGAGAGGCGTAAGTACAATTTATAGTCTTCCATTCACCATGGAAGTAGTTTTCTCACAGAAGCCTGCCAGATCATGTATGCCCTTTGGTGGTTGGTGGCCTCTGGGTCCCGTAACGTCTAGTCTGTCATTAAAGTCTTTGGGTCATAAACACTGAGAGAAACATACAAGCTGTCAGTCTACTCACTCTTTATGAAGGTAGCATACAAAGTCTTTCCACTTTGTATTGTTTTCACTTTGAGATGGAGTCTTGCTCTATAAAGCTTGCTGCCTCAGACTCCAGACTACTGTGACTCTGAGTATGTGCCTCCAATTGCACACTCCATACGTGTTTAATATCTACATAGGCTAATGTGGTCAGGAGTTAGAAGACAGAGGCAGAAAAGTGCAAGTGTCCAAAGTGAGAAACAAGTCAAATCTGTTCTGTGTGCTTCAGTTTGGAGGAACGTCTTGAAGCTTTGCCTCCCCCGTGTGAACTGAGATTTCCATTGGTTCCATAACACCGCTCTTTTGCTAGGAAGTCTTTTCAAAGCCTCGCCTTATCAGAAGCCATCCTAATATTTTTTGTTGTTGTTACAAGATTCAACTTGATGTGCTTAAACTTAATACCAAATATTTCCTGGGCTTAACTTTGGAGACTTCCTCAAAATGTGATCAAGATTGAGATCTGTTTTTAACCAATTTAACATCTTTTCTAGCCTAAATAGGTGAGGTACAAGTTTGTTGGTAGGGTCAGAGAAGGTAGTCACTGAGTGAGTGTGAATAGAACCAAGTTAGTCCTGAGGGTGATTTCTATGAGAGTTCAGTTAGTAGTCCAACAGCCTTCATTCCTTGGTACATTTACCAGCAAGAACTTGTTCCTATTTCTGCTGCCAGAGACTGGGTTTCATGACTACAGGGTACCCAAGCTGTGTTTACACGGACCTGTGAGGTCAACTGGACAAGCCAGGCATGTGTCAGTTAGTGGGAATTGCAGTTTCAAATTTAAAAGAATATCATCACTTCATATAATTATCTTCTTTATTGCTGATACTTTTATTCTGGAGGAAACCTGTCTGAGGATAATAGATACTGAAGAACAAAATGAAATATTGTATAACTACCTTTGAATTTTTTTTCTTTTTTCTTTTGGAAATGCTGTTGGTAGCTATGAATAAGCCATGCCTGCCTACTCACTGCTGCAGGAAACGTTAATAACACATCCACTCCAAGGACCCAGACACAGGAAATGGAACTGGATCACATAAAAAACTGTTCCATCCTGCCCCCTGACATAGTTTTATCTCAATGAATTATTAATAAATTCAGGGAATTCCTTTAGAAGTGTTTTAAAGCTTGGTACTAGGAATTTTACCCTTTACTTTTTGCAAGCAAAGCCCTAAGCTCTTTTTTGGAGTTGTCAATATCACAATTAATTTTTGTGATTGAATTTCTTTGTATGTAGTAATATCCCTGTCACCTAGACCTTCAAGATTACATATTAAAAGGCCTTCAATTCTGTTCCTAGACTGAATTTTTTAGATCTCACCATTAACAGAGCTGTAGTGTACTTTTCCCTATTTATGTGGTACCCAGCATCAAAGATTTTCTATTTAGATACTAGTATGTCTTGAGCTGTTGTATACTTAAGGTGAATACTGACAAATGAGTCGTATTACTTAGGGAGAGGATTGGTCGGGATAAAATTGAAGATAGTAACTCTCCACATGTCTGTCAAAAATGATATGCATGTGTACCAGAATTTGGTAGTTATCTGTGAGGGGACATATTGTTGTGGTTGGTTTAAGTGTAGAGTTCCGTGGTGACATTTAATCCTGGCTTGTCTCTGTGCCCCTCTCTCTAGGTTCTTTGGAATTAGATACTCCTTCGCAGCCAGTGAACAATCACCACGCTCATTCACATACTCCCGTGGAAAGTAAGTCTGGTTCAAGTACAATTTAAAACTGTAAATGTCACCTATATGTTCTCTTTTGTTAGCTCCACATAACCAAATGAGAAACAGCCTTTCCTTTCCCTTTATAAAAAATAGGCTTTTTATCACAGTTTACTTGGAGATTTTTCCATTTAAGCAACATGTACTTAATTTGTGAACAGGGAGTCTGTTTTATAAACACAGTGGCAGAATGTATAAAACAGATTGAGGGAGTATTATGACTGACCAGAAGTATATACTTCTTCATGTAGGCCTGTTTCTTTCAGCCTTGCCTCTCGGTGCTTGTCTGATATTTGCCATGCGATAAAATCTTGTTATTAGTGAGTTAGTGAAAGGGAATTATTGGTGTTGCTACATTTTTTTGACAAGTCAATTCAGTAGGAAAGAGGAGTAAATTGAAAGCTATTCTAAATGATTATAATAATAATAATGATAGGCAATGTATTATAATGTACCTTCTCACGTGATGTATGTGAAGCCATAGTGCATTGTGGATTGTCTTTAGTTTTTTGTTCCTAGTTTCTAAAGTGCTTGAAATGTCTGTTCTCTGGATGAAACACATGCATGACAAAGGCTGTTTGCTTGTCCCCTCCTTGATGAGCATAGTGGTCCATTTCACAAGGAACCTAGATCATAACTGTACTGGTTTATAAAAGGATGGAAGTATTCCGGTCTGTAGTCCCCTCAAGTTTGAAATTTGTGAATTCTTTCTTTTCATTCAGAAAGGAAATATAATCCAACTTCTCACCATACAGCAACAGACCATATCCCCGAAAAGAAATTTAAATCTGAAGCTCTCCTGTCCACCCTGACATCTGATGCTTCTAAGGAGAACACGCTGGGTGAGTTCGTTTTCTAGAAAGTGGTACTTTGCTTGTTTTGTTTATATTAGAGTAAGGGATAGAGAAGCACTCAAGATTATAATTCACACATGTGCTACCTGTTTAAAGTCTACATGTGGAGAAAAAGAAAAGGAAAATTGCCTTGTATTTTTCAGAGAGTTCATTCCTTAAAGTATATGAAGAATTTAAAGTTATTGATTACATATGGTGAAATAATTTATTTTCATCTCAGTAACACTATGTTCTCTGCAACCATTTTTATTTCTTCTTTACAGGTTGTCGAAATAATAATTCCACAGCTTCCTGCAACAATGCTTACAATGTGAACTCATCCCAACCCCTGGCATCCTATAATATTGGTTCATTATCTTCAGGGGCTGGCGCAGGGGCCATCACCATGGCAGCAGCTCAGGCAGTGCAAGCAACAGCACAGGTAAATAGTCGGAGGTTAAAGGCTAAGTCCTCGCTTTGTTCCCATTGTTAGGAAACCTCAGTAGGAACCACTAGGTGATAGCAGAGGTTTCAAACATCGTGTAGTTTGAGTTTGAAGTTGCACTTTGAGGCTAGATGGTGTTTTATTAATAATGCAGAGAAGTTGTTGGGTACAGAAACATCATACATATCACATGTGGACCCTTCTCCCAGTCCGTGCACAAGTTACCTTCTCCTCATCGTGAGGACAGTATCTGTTCTTTCTGTACCATTGGACTTTTGTCCGTGATAGCCTATAGCCTTCCTGTAGTTTGCACATAGTGCAAGTTAAGCCATTCCGTCTCAGTTTAGCATAAAAATGATTTTGAGTCTTTCCATGAAATGACTTAAATAACCATAACTTGTAACACTAAAAGAGAAAGTACCTATTTACGTATATTGATGCTAACAATACATGTCTACTTAAGATGAAAGAAGGGCGAAGAACATCAAGTTTAAAAGCCAGTTATGAAGCATTTAAGAACAATGACTTCCAGCTGGGAAAAGAATTTTCCATGCCCAGAGAAACAGCTGGCTATTCCTCCTCGTCGGCACTCATGACAACCTTAACACAGAATGCCAGCTCCTCAGCTGCCGACTCTCGAAGTGGCAGAAAGAGCAAGTAAGTTTTCCCATGCTAGTGTGCATCTTTGCTCAGCATTGTTTGTGTGGAGCCATATCCATCATGTCTCCAGGGATTAACCAAGGCAGGGTGCAGTGGCCCAGGCTGAACACGGGGTAGGCAGTTGGCTCTTTACACCGCCTCACCTTGAAGGCAGGAAGTCTTTCAAGTGTTAGAGTCATTTGTAATTGTTCTCAGTTTGTATATAAGTGACTCTTTTTTACTTTCTTTTGTTCTTTCAGATAAATCATTTTGTGACACCATTTCTGTTTTTAGTTTAGGTATCTAGTGGTAAATTAATATAAGCTGCAAATTATATCCCAAGAGGTTTTTTACACAAGATTTTTTTGTTTTGACTAATAGTGAAGTATCTGAATTTTTGCCTATATTCCTAAAACTGATTATATAACAATATCCCTAGACATGGTATGTAAGAAACTTAGAGTGATTATGTGAACTACAGAAATGAAAACTTAATCATGTGCCATTGTTCATCTAAGATAATGACTACGCTGAGTATCTATGCATACTGAAAAGTCAAGCCAGGGATGATGGTGTTCATGTGTAAGCCTAGCACTCGGAAGGCAGGAGGATTACCTCAAACTCAAGGCCAGCCTCATCTACGTAGGGAGGTCAGGCCAGCCAGGACTACAGTAGAGACCCTGTTGTCTGAAGGGGAAAAGGATGCGAATCAGAGGCAAAAAAAAATTAGTTATCTAATTATGCATCTTAACTTTATTTTAAATGTATTACTTCTCTACAAAATTTCCTGAAAGTAAATGATCAAGTACCCACAGAACTATTCTACATCCTAAAATTGATATGAATCGCCCACATTTAGTTGAACTCCGTATAATAAGTTTCTGCGTGCTACTCTAGAATAGAGTTGGTGGTAAATAGTTTGCATATTCTGATACTCTCAGATCCATGATCTATACTTGACAGGCAGAGGGCACATGCCAGCTGATGCTAGGACTTTTACCAAATACTTTTATATATTTGTACCTAGGTTTTGATGAGAACTCTTCAATTCACTGTAAAAAAAAAAAAAATCTAACAGTGTGAGCTAGTGTCACTGTCATTCTGGAACACTACCAACAAATTTAAGTCAACAGTAGATAGTAATCTTAATTTAGAAATTATTTTTAAAAGGTAGAAACATTTTAAGAGAATTTTCTTCTATTTATTTTAAATAGGAGATTTTAAGAATATATCCTTCTTAAAGGAACTTGTTCTCTAGAAACAAAAACTGTGAACGTAGGGTCAGACCTCAGTGTGTCCTTTCCTTCCATGTCAGTGACTAGGAGTCCCTCTCACAGAACCTCCCCAGTAAGCAAATGAGGCTGATCTTCCTTTAATTTTTTTCAGAAACAACACCAAGTCTTCAAGCCAGCAGTCATCCTCCTCTTCCTCCTCCTCGTCCTCCTCCTCCTTATCTCTGTGTTCATCGTCTTCAACTGTAGTACAAGAAGTTTCCCAGCAAGCAACGGTAGTGCCCGAATCTGATTCCAACAGTCAAGTCGATTGGACTTATGACCCAAATGAACCTCGGTATTGCATCTGTAATCAGGTAAAAGTCTGCTGCTTGTCTATAAAAGTGCAGTCTGAAGAAACAAGACAACTGTTTCAAAATCAGAACATTTTTATTCTAGCTAAAATCAAGAATGACTTGTTTATATAATTTTTGTCTTATAAAAGTAACATACTTGCTAAAAATACCAAGAATATAAAGAAACGTGAATTACATGTAATGTCAACTTTCCCATATGGTGAGACATTTTAATGTCACGCCCACATGTACCTTGCATGCATAATGTAATATACCACTGAGCATGTGGCTTACACAGCAGAAGTTCATCTCCTCGTGGTTTTGGAGACTGGGAGGTCCATGATTAAGGTACTGGTTGACTAGGTGCCTGGTAAGGCCACTTTTTGAATTTGAAGACAGTGCTTTTTTACTGAGTATTTATGAGTCAGAGAGAGGAAGATGATATTTTGCAGATTTGCAAGCACGTGCCGACTTCTCGGTGTTTCTTCTCAGATCACCACTGGAACCATCAGATTCAGGCTTTGCTTAACTGTAACTCCTCCTCCCAGCCCAGTCTTCAGTTAGAGGGGGTTATACTTTTTTGTAACTATTGTTTGCTCACTAAAAATTTTCTTTTTTAAAATATTTTTCAAAGTTAGCTCATGTACTCTGTTCCATAATTTTTTTAGTCTATACCTAGCTGTAGATTATAATTTTCTTTTAGATTACAAATATTACAGTAAGCATTATTTTTAATATAATTTCTTTCATACTAACTTTTTAGTAATCCATTTAAGTACAATGAATGATGTTATAAATGTTTGGTACAGTCTACAAGATATTTCTAAAGCTGTGTTACCTAAAATTGATATGCATAGCATTTCCTAAAGCCACGTTCATCACTGAGTATTATTTTCCCTTAAAAACTACATACTAGTTTGAAAGTTTTATATCATATGATTGTTTTAGTTGGCTTTATTACTGGGGCCTTTTAAAAACCATTTTATATTCTTCTAAATTAACTTCTAGTACAGTTGGTTATATTTTGCATTGTTTTTATTATGTACACTGGTAATATTTTGAGAGACCCTATCTCAAAAAAACTATGTGGACTCATTGATTAAAAACACCTAATGTCTACCTCGGGCCTCAGTGGACACATTCACCGAAATGTCTGTTGATGCACAGGTGGCCCAAGAGAGAGTAGACTCGGTCAGATGGTACCGCCACCAGATATCGGGCTCCTAGTGAGTCCTTGCAGACTTCCAGAGAGTGGGTGGGTTCTGGACAGGTCCCTTTGCCTTGTTCCATAGTCTTTTGGGAATGATAACAACAAAATCCACCACAGTCTCAACTTCATCTTAATTGTATGTTTGGTGAATTTCTCTTGATTCTCTAATATTATAAACACCTGGTTTATATTAAATGCTTGTTACGTAGTTATAATGTTTATCTAATTTTCTTTCAACCAGGTATCCTATGGAGAGATGGTGGGATGCGATAACCAAGATGTGAGTATTGCATTTTCCTACATTGGCATGGAAAAAGGTGTAGAGGACTGAGTATTTGTCTGTTAACTGTATTTCCCAGTTAGGAAATCAGGTTCTCGTTTGTGATAACTACGTTATCCTGAGGGAAGCATCACATGACCATAAGAGGATCGTGTCCCCTAATGATTTCCTGCTTCAGAGTTTTAAGGTGGTGTTACTAGGTGTTAGGTTCACATTAAATTCACACGCATTACTGTCGGCAGTTCCAAGGGCTTTCCTTTCTTTGAGCATAAGATACTGTATTTACTGGCGTCCAGGCTGTTTATCACATTGAAGAAGTGAAACTTCCCTAAATTCTTTCAGACAAATGCTGCTTGGGGATAATTAAGACCTAACGTGGGGTTATTTCCCTGGTTATTGCAGCATTTGGCATTCTCTCCACCAAGGACTTGGGTTGTATGAGCCATCACTGATGGGAAAGTGAGAGGAGATTTGAGAAAGGATTCCTGCTTCCTTTCCTAGGAAGGGTATTAGTTACTTGATAAGAACACTGTGACAGAGAGCAACTTAAGTCAGGGAAGAGTTTGTCTTCACTTATAGTTCCAAAGGGAATATAGTCCATCTTGGCTGGGGAGGCATGGCAGGAGGAGGGTTGGCCTGGAAGCCATCAGGAAGCCATCTGATACTGTTTCACCCACCCAGTGGAAGCAGGAAGTGAGACAGCAAGTCCACGTGCTCGCAGGGTATGAAACCTCAAACCCACCCTCAGGGAAGCACTTCTAGCAAAGCTCCCTATCCTAAAGGTTCTAGAAATTTCCTAAACAATGCTACTAGCTGGGGGCCAACTGAGCTTATGAGGGAAATTTCATGTTCAAACCACAAAAGGGATTTAGTTTTGGTTAAAGGTGCATGGTTGAGTAAATACTGAGCAGACTTTGTCTAGGGATATTGACTCATTCTTTAACTGCCCTACAGCAAATCCCCCTTTTGTACCTGTAGTACTTCAAAGGAGTAGCATGAACTCTGACTGTGGTGACACCAGTAGTGTTGGAATTCTAATATTAACAAGAGTCACAAGGATTGGCTTGTTGCAGTGACAGTTGTGTGTATTCCTTCCCTGACAGAGTGGGTGGAGTGTGCTCTTTAGAATGGCACAGGCCCTCCCCAACTGTCCTATGCAGTCACCTGTGTCTGTGTCTCTGTGTGTGTGTGTGTGTTTGTGTGTGTGTGTGTGTGTGTGTGTGTGTGTGTGTGGAGGTGGGGGGTTAAAGCAATGTCCTCTGGAGTCCCTGTAGTTAGTTCTTTCTGTCCTGTTTTGGGTACCAAGACTTCCTGTGGGGTAAAGAATTTTTGAATGTTTCAGAGAGGAGAGGTTTTTTTTTTTTTCCGTATCTCTGAATAGAGTACCAGAAAGGAAACCCAGCCATTTGATATCTGTAGTTCCAGCTCACTCATTCCACTTCTAGAGACCAGTTATAGCTGGATAGTTTTAAATCTTTTACATGTTTCCTTCTTCATGTAAGAGTCATCTTCTTTTATTTTGGGAAGATGTCACTTCCTGGCTGTCCAAGTTGATGGCAGGGAATGGATGTCCGTCTGTTCTTTAGTGCTCAGATTCTAGAGGCCATGAGCCTCCTTCTTATCAAGGAGCCATCCTTTTTCTGTGTGTCCATGTAGTCATCCATGAGGTAAATCAGTTGGACTGGATCCAAGAAATCTGATTGTACAAATCTAGGTTTGGTTAAATGAATTACTGTATGTCCTAAGCATTTATTTACTAACTGTTCTTTAGAAAAACCAACCCCCTTTTAAAATTTTCCTTTGCAGTGTCCAATAGAGTGGTTCCACTATGGGTGTGTTGGCTTGACAGAAGCACCGAAGGGGAAGTGGTTCTGCCCGCAGTGCACCGCTGCCATGAAGAGAAGAGGCAGTCGGCACAAATAGAGAGGGGCTTCACTGCAGGAAGGGAGAGCTTCAGCTCAGCATTTACACAGGACTCTAGAAGGAAAGACACAAGGACGAAGAAACAACTCATTCCAGGCGACCACTTAAAGGATTACATAGACAATCCTAAAAGATCTTGAACTTGAATTTTATGAGTTGTATTTTAATAATGTAAGTAAATTATTTATGCACTCCTGGTGTGCTATGAATATTATTCCAGTTAACCTTGGATTATTTCTGTGGCCAACATATGCAGACATTTGTACTCCTCAACCATTTTCTCAAAGTAATGGGCATTCTATAATTTAAACTTCAAAGAATTCCAACGATGAAGATTTTAAGAAAGTATTTTATATTCAACAGGTATATTCTGCTGCATGTACTGTACTCCAGAGCTGTTATGTTACACTGTATATAAATGGTTGCAAAAAAAAAACCAAAAAAGAAAAAACAAACAAAAAAAAGTCAGTCCTTCTAAAAAGGATTTCGGATAATGGTTTTTAAGATGCCTTTATAATAAGCTTTGTCTCTCTGTGAAACTCATTCAGCAGGCTGAAGGAATTGGTTTATGTGATAAAGTGGGCTGGTGTCCTCTAGAGTACCTGGGTACATAAACAGAAACTCCTGTAGGTAAAACCTGATTCGTGCCATTAGTCTCTATGTTTCTGCATCCAGATAGAGTGCAGCTCAAGCTCAAGCGGGTGGGGGTGGGGGCCTCTGGGGGCAAGGGCGTTAAAGTGATACATTTTTATACCAAATGTGTTTATTTTTTTGTGCGAGTAATCCTTAAATTGGAATTGTATTAGGTGTTAAAATAAAGTTTTTTAAAAAAATAACTTGTATTTATACTTTACACACTTAATTATGAAAATTTCTTAATTGCAATTTATTTCTAATTTTCATAATCCAAAAAAGATTAGAGGTTAGCATGCAGAATGCTATGTAATCTATGATTTCTATGATAATGGTTGGAAATTGTGTTATGAGGATGAGGAAAGAACATTTTAAATGTAAATTTGAAGTGTCAAATGTATTTTTCTAGAATATTTCTCTGGCTTTGCTTTGAATCTAAGGGATATAAAGAGAACCTAATTACAGCAGATACAATGAAAATAATATCTATAGATGTTTGGATTGGAAACAGTGTGACCAATATGACTTAAAGAGACCTTAAAATACAGTTCTGTTTTTAATTCTCTGACATCGTGATGTGGCAGTTAATTACCTCTTAAATCACTCTGGGCTTTGTGAAACCAAAGTAATGCAGGTCGTGGGATGTCTTCAAAGTAATGCAGGTCGTGGGATGTCTTCGAAGTAATGCAGGTCGTGGGATGTCGTCTTCGAAGCACTCCTAAGGGCTTGTTCTATAGGTGCTATTTCGGTGATGAACTTTACATAGTGGAAGCTTCACTTAATATATGATCAGTAGATGGGTAGAAAGATTGATGAAACTTCAAAGATCAGACTTCCTCTACATTGAAATATATGAAATCCATCAGACTTGCGCTTTAATGAAGCCCGCTTCTGAATCCTTTAGAACTTACTCAAAAGGCAGTGTTAAATCTATGTAATGCTACCTGAAGGGTAGAGATCTGACAGATGTTAGGAGCCTCATCCTGCTGTAAGATCCTGGAATGCTGCACTACCACAGGCTTACTTTATAACTGTTGTCAGCCCCAAAGACGGATTCATACAGACCTCTAGGATTTAGTATCGAGAGTGTGATGATTTCATGATATTTTGTAAGCCTTTAAGCAACGTGTACAGTTGTGTTCTGTGAGCTCAGTTGTATGCTCTCTGGAGATGCTTGGATGAGAGGTGTTTACATGCTGTAATCACACAGTATGACTCTTCTAAACTCATCCACCCTGAGAACGGGCTAGAGGAAATCACCACATTTTAAGAAACAGTTCCTTGTCAAGTCAGGGACATTCCTATAGTCAGTTGCTAAGCTCCTCTCTCTTAACTTCTACTTACCAAGTCTCTTGGAAAGAAAACACGCTAGCAAGCTTTGAGCTCAAACATTGACCCTCTTACACACTATCTAGAAAGAAATACACCAAAATTTTACACTAAGTATTTAGAAATGAGTAGAACCTGTCATTAAATTAGATAGCTATGTATACTATAAATGTATATACATACATACCATATATGGCCAAACATAGAACTACCTCGCTAAAGCAACACTTCCAGCAACTAATAGTCTTTGTTACATTTACACCGAGACATCCAGAATCTTTGTTGTATAAAACTTCTGTAACAGTGGGTGGCATAAAAGGCCCAAGTGTGAGTTCACAGTTTATAGGTGGTGAAAAACGAGGCCTTACTGCTGTAGTCTTTATTTAAATGTTCATGGTAACACATTTGAAGCAATAAATGGCTTAATTAAATCCCTACACGAAACTGAGTGTTCAATAACCCATAATCATTCTTTTTTAAGGGTAGCTAAATTCTTGGCTCATTTCTTACAGAAAGCACTCCTAATGTATTTTAGGTTTTGAACACTGTTTGTATAACGTTGTTCCTTGGCCCCCTGGTCTTTAGAAACAGTTTTCTTTATTTAATTAATTAACTTTAATTTTAGAAAAATCCTTGTCTGTTATACTTGGATTATAAGAGGGAAGCTAGTTAGTATGCAGTTTTCTTCTCACATCAAAAAAAAAAAAAGATGAACAAACAGACTTTAATAGAAAAGACTCAAAAATATATAACATTACAAATATTAAACACTAGAATGCTGTACATTAAGGAGTGCATGTTGCTTTGCGGATGCGAGCTGAGATGGAAGCCAGTGCTGACAGATATTTATAATTATTTTGGTAAGTGCTGTAAGGAATGTAAAAGCACTTCGGGAACATTGGAAAGCAGAATTGATTACTGCAGTTGAGAAGTAGCCCGAAGGATGAACGGCTGGAACCGAATCCTAAAAGCAAAGCATGTGCATTCTAGACTAGAGAGCTGCAGTATGTGAGGCTGAAGGAAGTAGATACCATGCCCAGAAGAGTCTAGAGCTGAGCAACAGTTGGTTTAAGAAGAGCTTTAACCAAGGAATAGTTTGTAATGGAACGGGGATATTTACCTAGTGTGAGTTAACCATAATGGCCATAAAAATCATTGATAACAATTAAAAAGCATGAGTATCTTCAAAGTAGCCTACATCTTGGAAACTGCTAACTGTTAAATTTAAGGTAGATGTTTACCTTTTGGGGGATCAGGGGACACACATACCAGTGTGCACGTGGAGATCAGGCAACAACTCTGTGGAATTGGTTGTCTTCTTCTACTCTTATGTGGGTTCTGGGGATTCGAACCTGGGCCACCAGGCTTGCCTGCAAGTATCTTTACCTGCTGATCCATCTGGCCAGCTGTACCCTCCGTTTTTGAACAGCAAACCAGAGTTGCAAGTCAAGATTTATCACTTTCCTTATTTTGAGAGCAATCTATTGTAGAATCAGATTTTGATTTTGACCTAATACAGTGTTTACGATTTGATTCTGTTATTGAAATGTTGATTTGAAGATGAGTTGACCTTAGGTTTTGTTTTTAATTGTTTTAATTAATTTAATTACTTGTTAATTGTCTTTAATTGAATTTGATACTCCTTTCTGACTACTTGTTTTAAAGCTTTGTGAGTTGTAAGCATTAAGTGTCAGCATGATTAGAATCTTATTTGAAAGAGCTTTAATAATTTCCTTAATATAATCTGCAGAGGTGTATAATTTAGTTTTTGGCTAATCTAGTGTTCCTTTTTTCTTTATCCTAACAAAGGGAACAAAAGGAAAACATTATAATTTGGGGGGGTTTTTTTGTCTTTTTAATTTTCCTGTTGCTTAAAAACTTTGCACATTTGCTGGGAAACATAACTGATGTGGGAAGCGAGCAAGGGGAGCGCACATGACCTGTCACTGTGTTCCCGTTCCACATGTCTATTTGTCTTTGTCAGGAAATAATAATCACTCTGCTTAGGAAGCTGTGTGCCTGCTAGTTTTATAAGATGAGCTCATTTAGAACGCGGCTCTTAATGCAGTAGCAGGGGGGAACAAAACAAACCACACAACTAGTGGCTATGACTTAATGCTTTTGCATTGTTAGATTTGCTCCAGCAGAGGCAGTCTCAACACTGAGACATTCAAATAAGGACAATTGTAATAGGTGGCAAATGACAGGAAATGGCTGTACTTGCTAAATACAATGTAATGGTTCAGCCAGGAATGCTTTTATGTAATTCTGGCTGTAAATATGAGACATCTGCTGATTGCTGGTAATAGTTTTTAGTTTGTCTTCCCTGGTATATAAGTTAGAATTTACCAAAATATATGTCCCTGTCCTTGAAGCATCTGTATATTGCTCTGGAATGGAACCAGTAATTTTCTTGAGTTTGAGGACTGGTTATAAAGCTGACTTGTTCAGGATTCCCAACCTGTGCAGAGTGCTTTTCCTTTACTGCTGTTTGCCATTTACAGATGTTTTAAAGAGAAAACTCAGTTTCCTACTGCTAAATAATTAAGCATGTTTATTGATCTTATGGTTTGGATTTGAAATTAGAAGAGAACTTTATGTCACGAACACATGACTGAAGGGACACATTCTGTTCAAGAATGCTGCCTTCTTACCCACTCAGATTTCCTAAATGAAGGCCAGCATTCATGAGCCACCAGACAACCTACACCCTTCAACTTGTGACAAGTTTAGTGCTGTAAAAGTCTCAAAATACCTTCTATTTTCAGAAAGTGGGAATAGACCCCTGAGTTATACAAAAGAAAAAAGAAGGAGAGGGAAAGTAGGAGGGAAGGATAGAAGGAAAAGCAAAGTCATATAGCTGTTTTATAACATTTTTGAAATGTACTATAGCTTCTAGAGTACCTATATCTCAGATCTATAGAAAAGACTTGAGATTTCTATTGGGAGTGTAATTTGATATTTTCATATAACAAAAGCTAAATGTATTAACATCTTCTATAGTATTATACTCCTAAGAACAAGTGTGGCTTCTTGCCAGTGTGTAAACTTTTGTCATAAAGAAAGTGAAACACCTAGTATGCCCAGTGAGGCAAGTGAATCTTTCCCCCTTATCTGTTTTGTCTGTTTGTCCATCCAGCCCCATCCACAGATAAATGTGTATATAATATCTACATCTTCTTGGTTTTGTTTGGTGTTTTGAGACAGTGCCTTCTTCTATAGTTCAGGCTGGTGCTCACTACGTAGCCCAAGCTGAAGAAAATTTGTGCTGATCCTCCTGCGTCAGCTTCCTGAGTGTTTATACCCTAGACATAAATGACATAGCCCACCATTCCCAGCCTATATATAATTTAAAGGATTCAAATGTGAAAGGCACTTAAGAGGCTTAAAGGAGGCTCTCTGTCCATAATTAACATTTGGGCAGGAAGGGAGCTGTATAATTATGAAGTTGCTAAAATCTCAAAAACAGCTGACTGTGCCTCTGCTGATGTACTCACTATCCTAATGTACAGAACAAATAAATCTCAGGCAGCCACAAGTAGGAAGTGTGCAACTTTTCTTTCGTTTAAATTCGAAAGTCCCCAACCTGAGCTCTTTTGGCATTTTTTTCTCTCAATGATTGTATGTTCATTAGAGGATAGAGTTCATAGCAACTGTGGGCTTCTGCCCTAAAACTCAGTAGCATCTGTGCCAAAAGTATTCCAATACCAATTGGGACAACCAAAATGTTTCTAGAAACTGCTAAACGTTCCCCGAGTAAGAAACTGCTTCCCTGAACCAAATAATCGCCAATATGGGAAATAGTTAGGAAAACAATGGGAAGACTGATACAGAGTATCTTAATGAGTGATGTGTAGGTTTCCAGAATGCA